GGGGGCAGGTGGGGCTGCCAGCTCCTATCTGACTGTAGCTGAATTCTCAGAGTTGAGGGTAAACAGCTGCTCTTTGAGTTTTGGAAGTAATTTCTGTATTTTCTCAAATTTAGAAAATTTCTGAGGGCCACTAGGGACCATCAGAGATTGCAGGAAGACACGCAGCATCAGCGCTGACTTCAGTAGAGGCAGCTCCTGGTCTCTGAGCTCTGAATCTTCTTTCTGGGAAAGTGGGTGCTGTGGGAATGTGGGAAGCAGATGTTTGGATTGCTCTGGTTTCCACTAACTTTTCAGTTGGCACCACACAGCAACAGCAGTAGGAGGAAGAACGTGGGTTTTGGTGTCAAAACTGGGTGAGAATCGTAGCTCTGCCACTTCTAGGTATGTTTTGGGGAATCTGATTCCTACCAGGACTTGTCCGGCTCTCTGGACCCTCGGGGTGCCACACCAAGGGTGGGAGGGCCAGTTGGGGAGTGACCCTCTTTCCAAAGCAGGTCCTCCAGTGCATATTTGCAGGCTGCTCCCCTCAATCCTGGGCATGGACAGCACTGCGTGCTGGCTGCCTGCTGCCCAGCTGGCCGGCGGAGGACGTGCAGGTGGGGAGAGGCAGGAGACCCCCCGAGAGCGGAGGAGGGTGGCTGGCTCAGCGGGTCTGGAGGTGGGTGGGAGTATGAAAGTGAATGGTCAGTGGGCAGAGTTCCAGGACTTGTAAAAGGCTCCCCATAAACTTCCAGGACTTCCATCCTAGGCTGCGAGGATCAATGAGCAGCGTGCAGTTCCTCCAACTCTGAGGATTTAGAAGTCACTGCCAGTCCCCCACGCCGGTTCCGGCCCTGGTTCCTCCACTTCCATGGCAAAGCAAAGGAGGCATTTGCTCCGGTTCCTGGCGCTTGAAACTGTCTTGCTGGCGCCATTTCCAGCTGTGAGTCCCCCCATGCAGTGGTTGCTGAGTCTTTGAGATGGTGAGCTGGTGCCTTCCCACCCGGTGAGGACTGGGTCCTTTCCGTGTGGGACCAGCCCTGGGACCAGGGGAGATACCAGGAAGCCTGCAGGCTGTGGTGGGAACTGTGCATCTGGGGGAGCTGAGGAAGCCCAGTGGGCTGGAAACATTCCTGTTCGTGTGGGTCTCAGGCCTCACCTGGAGCAGGTGTGCCTATGTGGAAGGCCATGGGCAAGGTGTTTGAGGGAGGTGCTGGGAGTTGGGGGCACAGAAGTAAAACCACGCACGGGACTGGCGCTGGGAACACAGTCCTCAGCAGGAGGACACAGGAGAGCAGGTGTTGAGGGAGCCGAGCCTGAGCTCCCAGGAGAAAGGCCCGAACTGCTCAAAGGAGGCTGGACTTTTGAAACAGGCCCAGGCCCAGGGGTTTTCACTGGAGAACAGGACAGCCAGACCCAGTGTGCCTGGGAGAGACTCTGGGGGGCGGAATGGGGCGAGTTGTGGAGCAAGATGCCAAGAGTCTAAGCAGGGAGAAGCTAACAAGAGAAACAATTAAACGGGCACTAGAGGAAGATTGAATTAAGTCAGACAGAGTCACACACATGAGCTGGGGCTCTAGCAAGCTGAGCTCTGTGGGTCTGCTCCTCGATGATGCAGATGACACCCACTGAGGCAAAGATTCCTGCCCCCGTAGGGGGCCAGAGCCGGGGCAGGGTGTGTGGTGTGCTGAGTGCCCCCCGCTGCGGCTCCAGCACAGTGGGTGTGGAGGGGGCCACAGGCTAGCTGGGGCTAGGGAGGGGAGGGCACCTCTGGGTGTGGCCACGCGCCCGGCTGGCATTCCTGCACCAGCCCTCCCTACACTTACCCTGGGGGGGCTGGCAGCCTGCACCCAGTCAGGTCCAGCTGCGCTCCACAACTCCCGCCACCACACCAAGCCCAGAGGTGATTCTTGAAAAGGTGACTGTAAAGAAACCTGTAAAGACAGAGTTTGTGTGGAAATTTCCTGGTGAAGGTCCAAGCAGTGGGTGCCCATTGTCACACACCAGTTATCAGGCTGAGCCAGACCCCTCCCTAAAGACCAGGGTGAGACCAGGTGGGTGCTTGTGGAGGGCACATCCGGCCGCCCGCCCAGCCTGGGCTCCTAGGCGGTGCATCCCCGGACTCCCCGGCCCCGGGCCACATGGGACTGGTTTCCGCTCTCAGCCTCCCCTGTGCCTCAGCTTGCTCTCACAGGCCCCAGGCTTCCTGAACAGCACCAGCTCTGCCGTGGCTGCTTGGAACTCCCATGCTTTTGGGTACAAGATGAGTTCTAGTTCAGCAGGGATCCCCCTGTGATGGGCACTTGCTAATTTACAAGCATTATCTCAGTCAGTCCTCCAAACAGACATCTCAGAAATGTGTTTGGCTTCCCCCTTCCTTTTTGTTGAAATTAAGGTATCATTAATATACGATCTCATGAAGGTTTCACGTGAGCAACACTGCGGTTACTATGTTCACCCATATCATCAAGCCCTCTCCACCCCATTGCAGTCACTGTCCATCAGTGAAGTAAGATGCTACAGAGTCACTAATTGTCATCTCCCTGCTGTACTGTCTTCCCCGTGACCCCCCTACATTATGTGTGCCAATCATAATGCCCCTCAATCCTTTTCTTCTTCCCTCCCCACCCGCCCTCCCCACCCCTCCCCTTTGGTAACCGCTAGTCCCTTCTTGGGGTCTGTGATTCTGCTGCTGTTTTGTTCCTTTAGTTTTGCTTCATTGTTATACTTCACAGATGAGTGAAATCATTTGGCACTTGTCTTTCCCCGCCTGGCTTATTTCACTGAGCATAATACCCTCCAGCTCCATCCATGTTGCTGCAAATGGTAGAATTTGTTTTCTTCTTATGACTGAATATTCCATTGCTTATATGTACCACATCTTCTTTATCCATTCATCTACTGATGGACACTTAGGTTGCTTCCATATCTTGGCTATTGTAAATAGTGCTGCAATAAACATAAGGGTGCATATGTTTTTTTGAATCAGGGATCTTGTGTTCTTTGGGTAAATTCCTAGGAGTGGAATTCCCGGGTCAAATGGCATTTCTGTTTTTAGTTTTTTGAGGAACCTCCATATTGCTTTTGACAATGGTTGAACTACTTTACCTTCCCACCAGCAGTGCAGGAAGGCTCCCCTTTCTCCGCATCCTCGCCAGCACTTGTTGTTCCTGCTTCTTTGCCCTTCTTATATGAGAAAGCGGAAGCACTGAGAGTTCAAGCAATTAGCCCCAGGACATTGGATTCAAAGCGAGCAAAGGCAGGGCCCAAACCTGGGTCTGAGGGCTCCATCCACAGAGCTATCATGGTACATGTCAGTGAGTTTCTCTGCCAGGAAGCAAGTCTTCTTATCTCCCTTTGAGAAAGGGAGAAACAGAAACACCCACAGGGCCCTTTTTCCTGCAGCCCTGCGCCTCCTCCTTTGCTGTGCAGCCCAGGGTGCTACCTGATCTCCAGGTTAGAGGAACTGGGACTCCAGAGCTCTGCCCTTTGGCACCAGATTTACTTGTCTGCTTTGTCCTTCCGGGGGCAAATTCCTCATCTGGGATTCTACACTCAGGGTGGGGAGGGCTCTTCATCCTGCTGTCGGGCACGCCAGCTGGCCTCCAGTGCCCCTCCTGCCCTCCAGCTCTCTGCCTCTGGGGCCCTGATGCCCTGCCGGGCGGCCTGCTCTCAACACTCCTGAGGTCTAGCTTTCTTCTTCCTCCACTCATCAAAGCGTATTGCCCCACGAGCCATGCCCAAGCTCCCTTCCAGGGCTGATGAAAACTTACCCAGGCAAAGGAGTCCCAAGTGACAGTGGCATCATGTATTAGCCCACTGGGGTAAAGTGAGTGTTCTAACTGGACCTTTAATGCCTTAGACCAGAGGCCTGATGAAGGTATGGAAGGTCAGGAAAGGAGGAGAAACTTTAGGGGAGAGAGACCTTTTCTCATGATTCTCAAGTCTTTCATACCCTGGGGTCCTGCTAGGAGACTCCTAGGGAGAGAGGGGCAGAGGGCAACCACCCTCCACAGCAGAAGGGGCATCCACTCTGGGGGCAGAGGACCTGAAATTCAGCTGCAGGTTTTGTTGATGCTCCTCATCAAGCTGAGGAAGTTCCCTTCTATTCCTAGTTTATGGAGTGTTTTTATTAGGAAAGAGCTTTGGATTCTGTGAAACGCTTTTTCTGTCTATTGAAATGATCATGCAGTTTTTGTTTTTATTCTATTGATAAGGTGTATTGTATTAATTGATTTTTAAAATGGTAAACCAACCTTGCATTCCTGGGACAAATCCCACTTTTTTGCGTGTAAAAATTCTTTTTATGTATTTATGAATTTGGTATGCTAGTATTTTTTTAAGGATTCCTACATCCATATTCATAAGATATATTGGTCTATAGCTGTGTGTGTGTGTGTGTGTGTGTGTGTGTGTGTGTGAGTGCATATGGGCAGTGGGGGGGTGCTCACACCTGCAGAGGCCAGAGGAAGGTTTCTTGTGACTGTATTCTCTTGGGAAGTGGGGTATTAGGAGCAAAATACATCTGTTCCCAGCATTCCTTTGGGTAGCAGCCACCTGGGCTTCTGGTAGGCGGTCCTCTCTTTGGCCTGCCAGGGCTCCTTTCTAAACTCTCCCACTGGCTTGGCACCTGGGGGTGGCCTGGGCAGCTCCTGGCTTCTCTGGGTCTGGTCCTGCAGTCTGTGCGGGCCTGGGCGTTTGCTCCCTCTGCTGAGTCCCCTTTGGGATGGAGTGGAGCAAGAAACAAGGATTTCGGGAACCAACAGAAGCAGCACCCCCTGCCAAACCTCCAAGCCAAAAACACTAGAAGGAAAAGGAGAAACTTGAGAAAACCTCTGGGGAGCTGACAGCTGGTTTGATTTGCTGGCTGCAGCCTGGGGCGCAGGGAATCAGAGCATCCAGGAGGAGCCTCGGTCGGAGGGAGTTTCATTAAAGCTCCTGTTCCTGCCCCTCCTCCAGCCAGCAGCCCAGATGGACGGCGATGTCCTCGTGACAATCTCAAGGTGGCAGAAAGAGTCCTCCTGCCAGGCGCCATTGAAAACATTTGCGGACGCCCAGCTGCGCCCTGCGTTTGCTTCCAGGCCCCACCCCCAGCACTGCAGGGCTAGGGGATTCCAGCCTGGAGTACCCTCTTCCCAGGGCAGCCTGAGCTTAGATGCCCATGTCAGCAAAAGTTGAGAAAAGGTGGGAGGAATTAGGTGGTGCTTGGAGACAGAAGCAGGGTAAGAGAATATTCTTTTTCAAAGATGGGAGAAACAGGGCTCGGTCTTAAACCCATGGCAAAGGTGCAGGAGATGGGGGGATGCTAGTGGCCCTGGGGAGGGGAGACTAGCTGGAGCGAGGCCCTTAAGCAGAGGTGAGAGGATAGGGTTGGTGCTCAGTCGGAGCCCCTGGGCTTAGCCAGGCTCATTCATCTAACGGGAAGGAAGGTGGAGGCCCCGGGCACAGCCTGACGTGGGTGGGAGATGCAGGTGGGGCGTTGGAGGGTCTCCGCTCACCTCCGTTCGCCTAGAGGAAGAGGAAGCAGGATCATCAGCTGAGTGGGGTTGGGGGGGGTGGGGGTGCAGCAGACCGGAGAAGGCAGGAAGGAGTTGGCTGGGGAGCGCGAGAGGGAACGGGCTACAGCACAGAGGGGTCACACCCAGCAGTGAGGGTCCCACGGGACGTGAAGTCAGCAGCAGGTTCGCTTGCTTCCCAGAGCGGCTGTCAGCTGCGCAGCGGGGTGGAGCGTGGGGTGGACAGGGCCGTGTGCAGGCAGGCACCCCACGCCTCCCCTCAGCCACACTGAACGTTGGGCGTGTGTCTTCCGGACCCTTGGCTCGCCACCGCCCTGCTATTGGAGCTTTCACTTTGGAAAGCTGTGGTCGCACATCCTTTCCTGCCCTTTGAGATATGTCTTTTAAAAAGCTTCCTGCCCGATGTATGACCCCGACTGTCTTCCTCTTGGATGTGGGCGCCGTTCCCTTGGCAGGTAAGCATGGAGGGAGGCAGCGCCTGGCTCCCCGTGTGTGCGTGTGTGGAGGTGGTGGAGGTGGGGAGAAGCCTAACCGATGCGCGCCGGTCAGCAGACATACAGGCCCGCGCGCACCGACCCACGTTCCCCTGTCCTCCCCGCCTTTCCCCCTGGCTCACCACAGCGTTGCAGGGCCGCTGTTCTCAGAGCCGGGGCTGGACTCCGCCCTGCCTGCGCACCCTGCAGCCTCACCCCTCGGGGCTGGGGCTCCTGGCCGCTCTCCCAGGGAGGCAGAGCCAAGGCTCCCATTCTCCCGATGGTCACCCGCTCTGAGGGAAGAGCCTCTGTGCCCACATCTCGGGTCCTCGCTCTGGCCCCGTGGTTCCTTATTGCCCTTCTGCTTCTGGAATGCTTTTGAGACTTAACCATGGCTTCATCCTGTTGACTTTGAGTTGTTCCCAGTGAGATGGTTGGCGTGATGATGGGGGAAGCCGGACTCAGTCATGACCTTCTTGGATTCTCTGCCCCTCCTGTCCCTAGTGCCTCAGACTCACTGTCCCCAGATGAAGTGCTCATCGACCCCCAAAACACCACCCTCCCCACTGCAGCTCCATGAAGCCACTGGAAGTGCTGTGGTCACAGACGTCCAGAGCCGGCCAGCACGGGGGGCCACTCGCCTTTATGTGAATGAGAAAAATGATGTCTCTCCTTCAAGTTAAATGTTTATAAATAGGCATATCACTTCTTAATAATAATTACTATAACAAACAAGGACTGTTTGAATAAGACATTCAATTCCATCAGAAAACTGTCAAAACATACAAATTTAGTTACAAGACACTTTACTGCCATCTGCCAAAATTGTAGTAAATACACATGTCCCATCTTTGAAGTAAAACAACATATAATAACATTTCTCAAAATAAGAAATGTCTGTGCTGTGAATAGTGCTCCCTTTGATATGCCAACCTGGAGAATTGTAATAACAATGCTGAATTAATCTTTCTGTATTCTTTTGTTGTTTCGACCTTCCACCATTCATTTCCACTGTCATTATATTAGCTCATATTCTTATTAGCTTGGATCACTGCAGTAGCCTTTCACTGGTCCTCTTCCCTCCAGCCTGACCCAGTGTCCCCACATGCCCAGCTACTCTCAGCACCTTGAAAGCCTGTGACACGTGCCATTCTCCCTCTTCCTGAGTGTCCTCACAGGGAGGTCTCTACACGCCCTTCATCACTTCAGGGCAGCCTGAACTTCCCCGGGCAGCCTCCTCCTCCACTGTGCCTAATGATCTCTCTCCTTGCAGTACCTGCCACAATTAGCAGCTGATTTATGGATTCTTTATAAGTTTGTTTCCCCCCTTGGTTGTTCCTCCACCCTGTAGGGTTTTCAGTGCTCCCTCTCTGCTCCTATGGCACCCTGAGTGCATTTACGACAGCACATGTTCCATGTTCACAGCCACAACTTCAGTCTCTTCCCATCATCTGAGCTCCTTGAGTCAGGCACTAGCCTTGCGAGTCTCTGAGCCCCTGTGTCTAACACGGCGCTTGCTCCTTACTTGTGTAGCTTGAGCCTTCCAAGCTCAAAAGATTTCTGGAAGTCCAGCCCCTCTTACTCCTACTTGCTTTGAGAGGAGCTGAAGGGAGTGTGTTGTGAGATCCTGGGGGAGCCGTTCTGTCATTATCCTCAGAGCCACTAGGGGGCAGGAAACCACCATCCTTTCCTAGATGAGGGTCCGACCAGAATCAGGCAGCCACAGAAATCGTCCAAAAAGCCCACGGGTTGAAAGATCACTTTGCAAAATGGTCAACTCAGCAAAAGAACCGACTTGCTAAATCACTGAGTTATTTGAAGCTTGTTTTTACTCAGAGGGCTCCCCAATGTTTAGTATTTAAGAAGGAGCGAGCTTTTTGTGAACTCAGCTTACTGTCCTCTCTATTTTGGGGAAATGATAGCCGGCTAGGCTGTGACTGCCCCTGAACCGGTCTCCTTCTCTGGGAAGGACACAGCTGTGATGGCTGGGTGAACCGGCTGAAGGCTTTTGTCTGATGGTTTCAGTGAAGTGGTTTTCCATGAGTTGGCCTAGCAGCCCTGGCCAGGATTCTTTCTTACTCCGGGCGGGTGGGGAGGGGGGTGAGAGAGCCTTGCCCAGTTTTCCAGCCCAGGCACGGCCCCAGCAGCCCCCAGCTCTTGGGGGGCAGTGCCAGCAAACCCGGTTTTCTGCGGCCTCCTAATGAGGCTGGACAGGAGAAAAGCAGGCCAGAGGAAGGTGACGCCTCAGACGCAGCTGCCCCTCGAAGCCTGGTCAGGGGTTAAACGTCTTCTCACGTGGACGGACTCCGAGGAGATTATGCCAGACGAGAAAAGCCCGAAGAACAAACCTGTCTGATTCCCCTCATATGAAGCATCTAAGGTCGTCAAAAGCAGCGGAACAGAAAGGAGAGCAGAGCTTCCAGGGGCTGGAGGAGGGAGGGGCAGGATTGTGTCTGATGGTGCAGAGATTCGGTGCTGCACGAGGGGCAAGTCCTGGAGCTCTTTGCACCGTATGGAGAATGTACTGGATGCCCCTTGGCCGTGAGCTTGAAAATGGCTATGATGGTAAATTTAATGTTGTGTGGTGTTTTTTGCCATAATAAAATAAAAAAATGTCCCAAGTGTTCAACGTACATTGGTGGTAGGTGTTGGGTCAGTGCAATCGACCTCCAAATAACCGGGAGACGCGTGGATGCAAAAGCAGGAGCGTTTATTGGGGAGCCAGCATGCTGGGGTCTCACACTCACAGGTGGAGACCCCAAAGTACAAGTTCGTTCTTCTTTTATACACAGGAATGGGGTCGTGTGCAGAGTGGGCCTAGATATGACCTGACCTTCACTGCAATTGGTCTCAACTTGTTCACCAACCATTTGGACAGGTTCCTTCTAGGTGGAGTGACACTCCTGACCGCCGGGTGGGCGAGCCGTCCACCTTCCACTGGCCAGGAGTATCCGGCCAGCCCTGGCAACTGTGTTGGTTAAATTTTTGTAACTCTTGTGACTTCGTGATGTGACCTGTCTTTTACAAAATGAAGTCACATATAAAATGGAGTAAGTTATGTCAAGACTCTTCAATCAGGACTCTTCAGAAGGAAGCTTTTGGACGCTATTTTCGCTCACAAAAAGAGCATTGCAGACGTCTTACTGCGGGCCAGGGCCTGGCGCCTGGGGAGCCGCGCGGGGCTGAGGCCCAGTTACCGGGGCGGCCTCCGGGGGGCGCTGCTGCAGCCGCGCGAGGAAGCTGACAGGGGGCCACGAGTGGGAGTTGGTGGGCGAAGGAAAACAGCGTCTCGCGTTCTCACCTTAACGGTGGGAAAGGGTGAGGGGCAGAGGGTGGAGGGCGCCCGCCCCGGCGGCTCCAAGCCCCCGAAGGCCCGCCCTGGGCCGGGGACCCGCACCCTGCCCAGTCCGTTGCCCCCCAGTGAGCGCCGACGCCTCCGCCCGGGCAAGCTCGCTCTCCCCTCCCCTGTAGCCCAGGTGCAGCCTCTGGGGACGCGCCGCCGGGGAAACCCCAAAGGCGGCCCCCCTCCCCAAGCCCCTCCGCCGAAGCTCCCCAGGCCCCGGCAGCGGCCGGGCGCGTGCCCTTGGCCTGCGCCGAGCGCCTGGGTCGGGAACCCTGGGCCTGGAAGCCTCGCTCTTCCCGGAAACGGCGGCGGGATGGTCCCGGCGCCGCCGGCCGCGCCCTGCTTCCCTCTAGCGGCCGCCGCCGGCCGCGGGCCTGCGTCTCCCCGCGGTCCCCAGCTGCCTCCCCGCACCATGGAGCCACAGGAGCGGAGCCGCCGCGGACGTGCTGGGCGCCCGCCGGGCCCGGGCAGCAGACGGAGGTGCGTGTGCGGCGGCGGGCGCGCCCTCGCGCGGGGCTCAGGGCCAGGGCCGCGGCCCCTGGGCGCATGACCGGGCGAGCCAGCCTGGGGGAGCGGAGAGCGCGCAGGGGGCCCCCGGGAGGGGCGTGTCCGGGTCCCCCCGCAGTGGAGGCAGGCGGGGTTGGGGAGGGGCAGGAAGAGGACAGGGGGCTCTGCGCCCCAGGAACCCCGGGAAGTCAGCAGGGCCGCCGGGGCTGCGCCTCCCTGGGAAGCAGGGCCTTGGGAAGCGGGAAGCGGACACTGGGCACATGTGGACACTGATTTCCACCGGTACTTTCCTGCTATTGCCCAACGCTTGCTCAATTAGGGCTCCATTCACTGAGCCCTGAAATTGGTCAGTGCTTGTGGAAAACAAGATTTCTACCCACATTTGGCTCCCACCCATGAACTTTTCCCCTTCCTCCTGAGGACTGAGTCTTCCTAGGCAGGGCTCTGGAAGCTGCTCTGACCACCTCTGGCGTGTACTGCCCCTGGCGTGCGAGTCCTACACCATCGGAAGCTTTGCGTGCATCCCTGACGCCTCGTCCCCTTGGGCAGGTGGCAGCCCCTTTAATGGTCTCGGCTGGAGTTGTGGAAGGGAATGCGTTCTTTTTCCCGTTGCTCTGCTGGGGTCCCCAGAGTGGTCTGAGAGGTGATGGTGGGGGGAGGAGTTTTGGTTACCTTTTGTCCTTAAAAGTATTTTCTATATGCTTGGGAGATACGGTGCAGGTTGGGTAATTGTAGGTATGGTGAGAGAGAGAGAGAGGCGCCAGTTTAATTGCACAAGGCACGTCAGCCGGAAGTGCAGCAAAGACTCATCAATTTAGTCACAGTATGATGGGGAACCATGTAAAGCAAGGTGCTTCCTTGGGAAATACACTCCTCTCTTCTTCAGACCTGCTGGAGGTCTCTGCTTCCTTCAGTGTATTTACTCACCAGTATCTTAAAAAAAAATGTATGAAAAATACCACTTCACTGTCTTGGGACACAATGTAAGGTCAGTTTTTTTATTATTCAAAGTGACATCACTTCAATCTCCCTCTCCACTTCTAAACACTGTTTTTTCTTCCTTTCCTCACATCCCCTGCTCACTCATCCAACACCATTTATTGAATATACACAATATTAGGCCCTAGGGCCACAGAACAAGACAGGGATGGCCTCTGATCTAACGGAGTTACATAGTGCAGTAGTGAGAAAATAAAAAAGGAGACACAATAAATAATATCAGATAGAACTGGTGTTGTGACAAACATAAAGGAAAATAAACAGGGGGTTAGAGAGAGGGTTTCCTTATATGGCTGGCGTGTGTCAAGACAGGAAGATGTTCTTAGGAGAGTCCCAACAGAGTTTAGACTTAAAAGACAAGTCTATTTCTTCTTGTCATAACAGTTATGAGGTATGTGTTTCTTCATGTGGATTCTGATTCAATTAGGAATGCTAATTTTTAATTAGTGGTGGTTTACGCCAGTGCTTCTCAAACGTGAGTGTTCATGGCAATCACCTGGAACTTGTTAAATTACAGATTCTGATTCAGCAGGTCTGGGGTGTGGTTTGAGACTTTGCAGTTCCAACATGATCCCAGGTGTTGGCAGTATTGCTAGTTCATGATCATACTTGGAGTAACAACAGCTTCTATTGTAAGAATATCACGTATTTATTTAACAAAGAGGTGGCCTCAAGGATGTTCTGGAAGCTCAGAGAATTTTATCTTCTGGCTCTACCATCCTGTAGCTTGATGGTGCATGCTGACTTTCTGTTACCTCATTGCCCCATGATATCTGTGGCAATTCCAGATATCATATTTAAACTCCAAATAATAAGAGGGGAGGGATGCCAATGGGAGCTTTCTACTTGGGTCTGCCCCATCACCAAGAAAACAGTGGCATTCCCAGAAGACCCAAGCATGCATTCCCTCCACTGTCACCTGGTAGGACTGGGTTATGTGGACACCCCTAATGGAAAGGTGTGGGAAAATGGAAGTTCCCATGGCCGGGATCCTCACCTGACCCTAAACTACCTGATGATGTAGTTGGCCTGCTGCTAGGCTACTGCTTCCACACCTGTAGACAATTATTGACTGAGTCTCTACATAAAGAGCTTCGCCTGAGCTCTAGCTCAGCCGCCCAGATGCTTGGGAGAAAACTACAAGGAGAGTGCACTTTGTTGCTGATCCTCTATCCACTCTTGTGTGAGTGGAAAACTGATGTGTCTGTTGCCTTTTGTCCCTGCAGTGGCAGCTGGAGCCCCCGTAAGGAGGGTGGGGCCCAGCACGGCTGCTCGGCTCCAGCCCTCAGACTCCTGCTCCTGGGGAAACGTGGCTCCGGCAAAAGCGCCACGGGAAACACGATTCTGGGCAGAGCTGTGTTTGTGTCCAGATTCAGCGAGCAGATGGTGACTAGGAAGTGCCAGAGAGAGAGTGGGGCCAGGAGAGGGAGGGAGATCGTGGTCATCGACACCCCCGACCTTTTCTCCTCCATGGCCGGTGCCAGCGACACTCAGCGCAACATTGACCTCTGCAGGGAGCTCTCGGCTCCCAGCCTCCACGTCCTGCTTCTGGTCATTGCAATCGGCTTCTACAGGGTGGAAGACAAACAAACGAGCGCGGGCATCCAGGAGGTGTTTGGAGCGGAAGCCAGGAGGCACACCATTATCGTCTTCACTCGGAAGGATGAGTTGGGGGATGACTCGCTGCAAGATTACTTTGAGAACAATGAGTCCCTTAGAGAGTTGGTTCACAACTACAGGGGCCGATACTGTGCTTTCAACAACAAGGCGAGTGTCTGTGAGCAGGACACCCAGGTGGAGGAGCTCCTCGCAAAAGTCCAGCATCTGGTGAATGAGAACGGAGGACCGTATTGGGTGAACTTCAGAAACAAAGGCGGTGGGTTCCAGGTGAGAATTCTTGTTCAGGTCCCAAGGATCTTTGTTGCTAGAGTTCATGGGCAGGAGAGGGACACAGTTAAGTGGAAGGCTGCGTTGTGTGATGGAATGTAGGCTTTGTAAAAGTAGATAGTTATCCTTAATCTGGAAAGATGGGGCACCAGACCACAAGCTGTTTTGACTATTACCCTTTGGACTTGGAACTTTGTAGGCAAATTAATGGACACATTTAAGTCCTTATCTAACATTACCCCTCATTGTATTGGATACACAGATGGCTCCTTAGGCTCTCTTCCCTTGGCTTCAGTAAAACTACCCTCTTCTTGTCATCCCCTCTCCCAAACCCCACTACTCCAGAGACTGCTGAGTCCTCCTATTGTGGCCTCTGAAAATTGGCATCTCCAGGGCTTGGTTCTAGCCTTTCCTCCACCCTCCACCCCTTCTCTTCAGGTGATCCCAGTTAATTAAGGCTTTGAGCTCCGCCGTTGGCTAACAAGTCTCCCACTTAGTAGTTGCAGCCCAGGCCTTTCCCTGAGCTCTGCCCCCTTTATCCAACTGTCACTTGGTATTTCCACTTGCCTCTCTTACAGCATCTCAGACTCAACATGTGCAAACTTTGGGTTTTCCCCCCTAAATCCATAAGGCTTCCATTTTCCTCTCCCCTTGGTAAAGGATTGTGCTGCTCCCAATGCCCTTCAAACCCGAACCCAACCCAGATGTCAGCCTTGATACCACTGCTGGCTTGCAGCGGATGTCCAGAAAGTCAAGTCTTGTGAGGTCCGTGTACCTGGAGCTCACCTGCTTCCCTCCATCTCCACTACCACCGTGGTCCCAGCGGCCTCTTTTCTGGCCTGGACTATTTTACAGATAACCTGCTAACAGCTTCCCCCTCATTCATTCTTGTGCCCCACCCTCCATCCATTTCACACACAACAGCCACAGGGAGACTTTATTTTGTTTTAAAACTCGAATGGAAAATGTATGTGTAACTAAGGAAGCTACAAAAATGTAGGCTTTTGCCTTTGAGGAGCTTACACTTCAATTGGAGTGACTTATGCGGAAGACACAAGGGGGGACTGATTGGGGTAAGTAAGGGCACGTTGGTACAGAGAGTTCTACAGATGCAAGTGCCACAGAATGCAAAGCAAGCAGACCTGCAGCATGGGGCAGACTGGTCAGAGTGGGCCTTCTTAGAGCTGATGAGTGGGAAGCCCGAACAAGACCGAAAGGGGAGGGAAATCAGCGCCTTGGCGTCGGGTAAGGCCAGGGAACAAAGCAGAGGGAAAATTTCCTTCACTGGTGTGGAGATTTAGTGAATTAAGGTTAAACTATAGGAAGCTTCTAAGAACAGCAGGTCCATCAAGATGCCTATGACTGCTTTCACCTCCTCCGGGACCCCCTGATGGTTTAAATCTGGGGAGTGAGTATAAGGCTTGAGCAGGCAGGGGAAGGGGGTGCCAGTCATGCGTGTGGCCCTCCCTCCTCCTTTGTCTCTGCTTGGCCGCCTGCGTGCGGGAAGTTCCATCCTGGAGTGAGGGAAGAAGGCCCTGGAGACCCGTGGGGACCCACTGGAATTCCCAGTCTCCTCCCTTCCCCTTGTCCCTCAGATGCACATCACAGGCATCCCTGGGCCAGGTTCTCCTTCCAGAGGTCCAGAAGCTCTTCGTAAGCTTCTGGGTTTTCCCCGGGAAGAGTGGAGACTCCGGAAGACTTTGGAAGGGATATCGTTGCAGGAGGGACTGTGGAGAGGCGAGGTACGGCTGCAAGAGCAATGCCTTGGTTAGACGGCATTTGTGGGACTTCCTGAGTGAGAAACCTGTCATGGCAGGAGCCCCCTGGGCCCTCAAGATGAACTGTCATTATGGACAGGTCTGCAAAGGCCAGCAAAGACCATGCATGCCCCTGGCCTTGATTTGACCACACCCTAATCATCAGATTACTCGAAATTATATACTTGTGTTTTCATTTCTTCACTTTGTGAAAAGATGAGATCTTAGATCTGTGGGCATCATTTTTCCCCTTTATTTTTTAGGATTGTGTGAACGAAGCTACGTCTCTGAAGGAAGACGACCCACATGGTAAGATGACCCTTAAAACACATTGAGCTCATATCTGTGAATATTTGAATACATGATGCATCAACATGAGGTGGAAAAACTATCTAGGTAAGTCAGAATAAAAATGCACCCAAGAGACCGTGTGCATGTCAGTGCCCACAGCTGGCCCCCAGGGGACCCTGGCAGTGAGTGGGCGCAGCACCAGCCGAGGTCCTGGATGCCGGCCGAGTGTCCCTGGCCTTCTCTGAGCTATGGAGCTGTGCTTGCCTCTCGCAGTTTCTCTTCTGTCTCAGCCTCTTCTTCCTTCCCTGGCCCTGGACCCAGTACTACCCAATTTTTAACTCCTACTGGGAAAGCGGAAATCAGTTTCTCATGGATGACACTGAATTGCAGAATTTGGTCAAGGAGCTCAGTCTCCATGTAATGGCTGCCATTAATGACACGTCCTGCCCACTGTACATGTCAGTCTTGCTCTGTGTAGTGTACAGTTGGTCCCCAGGGTGGACATACACAATTAACTCAACCATCCCCTTATTGCTGGACTTTCAGGTTATTTCAGGGCCAGCTGTGTGCAGAAACTGAATATTGAGCAGTGAAGTAGATGAGCTGCCTAACCTCATGGAACTCCCCCAAATAACAATTGAACTTGATAAGTGCAGCTGACATTAAGTGCTGGGAAATACACATACCATTCAGTCCTCACAGCATATTATCTGTAATCCTTAAAACAGCCCTATAATGGAAGTGTTGTTGTCATGGTTCTTATTTTACAGGTGAGTAAACTTAGCCAGAAATATGTGAACTTGGGCAGCAGTAGGGATTGAAAATTCTGTCTACGCTCTTCAGCCGAGACCCCCAGGAACATATTTTCCTGAACAAAATTGGGCTTATGGCTTGTGGCAGTGAGGGACTAGCACACCACGGGGAACTGTGGGGCGTCTCAGAAGGGTGTTGGAAAGGACTTTGTATAGGATGTGGGCTCATGTGAGGTGATTTGGGGGGAGAGTAGTAACTTTCTCAAGGCGCTGTAACAGGACCCGGTGTCACCAGCATTTCAGCTGCTTTCTTCAAAAGCCACGTTCCTTCCACCTCCCAGACTTGCCACTCACCCTGAGTGGTGGCCCCCCGCCCCGAGAGTGCCCTGTGGCTGCTCGCTGTGCATTTGCCCAGCCTGCAGGTCTGGGGTTGACCTTGGATCATGGAAGGAGTGGCGGGGCCAGTTTGACGGGGCAGGTTTGTACAGCGACTCATTGAGGTATTAAGGTGCATGGGGTGAAATGCACAGATCTTCAGGACACGGCTCAGCACACACGTGACCACCATCTGGATAAAGATCTGGAGCATTTCCACCACCTCACAGGTTCCCCCTGCCCCACCACTCTCCAGACTTCTATCAAGTAGATTAGTTTTGTCTGTTCTTGAACTTCATATAGGGGAATCATATAGCTGTAGTTTTGTGTCTGGCTTCCTTCACTTGGCATGTTTTGGAGATCTGTCCCTTTTGTTTTATTTTGAATTGCTGAGTAGTGTGCTATTTTATTAATATACCAGCAAGGGGCACTTCCTGATCCTGCCTTGGCCCATAGGCTTCATGCCCTAGTACTTACCTTTGGTGGCAAAATGAGAGGCATGCCCGGGACCCCTCAGGGAGGGCCACGTCTAACATGCTCAAGTCCTTGGGAAAGCACAGGCCTTTACGTGCCTCTTGGTTTGCTCATGGCCCCTCATGGCTTTCCTCTGATGGGCAGTTTCTGTGCAGGACAGAGTTCTGCTGGTTCAGAGCCCGACTGGACAGTTCTGCAGGAAGAGAAATCATAAAACCAGTCCACGTCTCTATGCAACTGCGAGAAGAGACTTTGAATCTGTCCTTTTGTCCCCCAGGGCCAGGGGAGAAGCAGCTTCAGGCCACAGGATGTGAGCCCGACCCTGAGACCTCAGAACTGAAGGTCCTGCTCGTGGGGAAGCGTGGTGCTGGAAAAAGTTCAGCTGGAAACAGCCTTCTGGGCAAGCGAGTCTTTGAGACCAAATTCAGTGACCAGTCAGTGACCCAGAGATTTAGGTCGGAGAGCAGAATCTGGAGAGAGAGGAAATTTTTGATCATTGATACTCCAGACATCTCATCTTCAAAGGACGTTAGATCGGAGTTTCAGAGACACGCGTCCCCAGGCCTTCATGCCTTCCTGCTGGTGATGCCCCTGCGCTCCTTCACCGAGAGAGACGAGGCAGTGCTCAGCACCCTCCAGAGAAACTTTGGAGACAAATTCGTTGAGCACACGATCATTCTCCTCACCAGGAAAGAAGACCTAGGGAATCAGGATCTAGATGAGTTCTTAAAAACAGAAGGTAACGCTCTGTGTGAGCTCATTAAAAAATGCAAAAACCAATACAGTGTCTTCAACTACAGAGCAACGGGAGAGGAGGGGCTGCGCCAGGTGGATGGGCTCCTGCAGGAAATCGTGAGCATGGTGCAGCGGAACGGGCACCGGCCGTGTGCCTTCAGGAAGAAAGGTAAACGATCTGTAGAACGCTGTGTACCTATAGTTAAAACTATAAATATGAAATATACAGGAACTTTTTATTTCTGAAGGGCTTAGAGAAGATTTAAAAGGACAGGTTTATTCTGTTGACTAGTTCCTGTTTTTTTCTTAAATTTTACTAAAGTTATGTGCCTTTCCATGCACACTGTCCTGACCCGAAATTTATTTCTCTCATGACCCTTGTCTCATCTCTCCAACTGGATGGTGAGGATCTTGGGGAAGAGTTGACTTCCTCTAATCTCCAATTAAGTTTAATGTGGTTTTAATGAGAAGTGAATTTTAGCATGACCCAAATGAAGGAACTGGCCATCTGTCAATGGTCTATGCGGTTGCTCTTTCATGGAAAGTCAATTCTCTGGAATAATTTTTCAAATACATCTGGGAGATTTCACTACAGTTAGCATCAGTTGGCCACAGGAAGACAGTCAAGCAGGAACAGCAGACAGAGATGACCTGTGTAGACTCACACATGTGAAAAGCAGTAAAGCCAGTGGCACACACAGGGTGCCAGGGAGTCAGAGAAGGTACCAGAAGAAGGGAGCAGAGTCAGGGATGAGAACAGTACCATGTCAGTGGGTGAGCACCAGGCAGACCGTGGGTCCAGGTGTGCTCCCGAGTGCACGGGCCATGCGGCCGTGGGGATGGAACTGCCTGGTGAGAGGGTGGCCCCGGTGCTCGGGGGATACTCTGCTGTAATGTCTGGCATAACTTGAAAGTCGTCCCCATATCAGCCCCAGTCATGAACATTTCCTGCTTCCCTAACAGAGCCCCTGAGCCTTGTCCTGGTGGGGCGGAGCGGCCCCGGCAAGAGCGCTTGCGGGAACACTGTCCTGGGGAGGCCCGCCTTCCCCTCGCAGCTCAGCACCCAGCTGGTCACCAGGACGTGCCAGAGCGGCAGCAGGACATGGGCCGGGCAGCAGGTGGTGGTGGTGGACACCCCCCCGTTCCACCTGATGCCGGGCGCTGGAGTGGAGGAAGAGGTCAGGCTCTGTTTGTCCTGCTGTGGAGAAGGGAACAAGGTTCTGGTCCTGGTGGTCCAGCTGGGTCAGTTCACTCAAAAGGACAAGCAGGCGGTGGAGGAGCTCAAGGCCATCTTTGGGGAGGATGTCACAGAGTACATGATCGTGCTGTTCACCCGGAAGGAAGACCTTGGGGCTGTGAAGCTGGAAGATTACATCCAGAACACAGACAACAAGGACTTCAAGGACATAATTAGCAAGTGTGGGAATCGAGTTTGTGCTTTTAGTAACAAAGAAACTGTCCAAGCCAAGGAAGCCCAGGCAACAGCTCTTCTGACAATGGCCAATGACCTGATAAAGCAGCATAACGGGCAGGGCTATCCCCGGGCGTGGGAGGAAGTCAGTAAATTAATTAAAAAGGCCCAGGAAAAGCACAAGCCCCAAAATATGCTAAATAATTTCAAAGCTATGTTATCTGGTAGGCCACACATCTGGTCTGTTTAAGGTAGAGACGCCCTCAGGCCGCTGGGGGGCCTGGAGCTCTGGCGGGATGGGAAGAGCCCGTAGCTTCGTAGCTTCGAGGGCTTGGGAGTAAATGCATCTTACCTGGTGATGCTTCAGCTCCTCATAGGTAAGTATGTTATCAGGTAGGGGCAGGTAATAGGGGATGGTAAGGACATAAAAAGGTGGGGAAGTCTGGAAAAAGGCTTCAGAGATTAGTGGCCACTGAGGGTCCAAATCAAGTCACAAGAATCACCTTGTGTGAGGGTGGACGGGAGTCTCCACAGCCATGGAGGCCAAGGCCAAGGCCAGCTGGCGTCAGAAGACAGAGACACAAGAACCAGGGGGTCCTGGGCATGGTGGGACAGAGAAGCTGGACTCCGTGGGTCACACGGCTGCCCACGGCTGCTTGCCAGCCCCCCTGACCCCCTGGGTCGCGTGTCTTCACGGGGGTAGGACTCAGGACTAGCACGGTCCCTTCCTCATGGGGTCGCTATTCCTTTGTGTTCTCTTCACTCCAAGCCTGAATGGAAAGTGGGACCCAGGCTAGCCTTCTTGTGTCCCCGAGGAAATGAATATGAGTCTGTAAGGTTTCAAAAAACTTACTAATCATCACAGTGAAACAGACTAGAACAAATATCAGAAGCACTGTACAGTTGCCAACACTAGACAATTGTGCAGAGTTCTAAAATTTCTAGATTGCCTCTAGAAAAGTTACTGAACATTCCTTTGCCCTTCTCTCTCATTTTTAATCCCTTAGGGTTGGGAATTAGGTTAAAACTCAGAGAACTCAAATAATAACAACTAAACACACCAGAGGCTTATAGTATCTCCAGGCAGGAAGTCGGGGCGTAGGGAGTCTGAGGCTGGCGCAGCGCCGATGTCCCAGCGTCCTCCTCTCTCTCTGCTCCAGCTCCGCTGGCATGCAGCCCCCCTGCTTAAGGCTGCTGCCTGGTTTCAGGACAGTAGTGTCCCACCCTTGGCCGCACGGACTTCACGGAGAGCTGCCCCATGTGGGTGATGGGTGAGGGCTGAACCATGGAATCTTCTCCCAGGCAGATGTAGGGTCAGGTATTTTTGATATTCATCTGTGCTGTGAGGCTGGATCTATATCATCTGCTCTTGTTTTTTAAAATATCAGGTTACCTTCAAGATTAACCCAATTGTAAGAACACGGACTGTCACCATTAATACTTTTGTACTCTATGTAACTCTTAATATGACAAATTCTGGAAAATGTGTGTGTAAATATATCAATTGGGTGACATAATAAAGATGAATTATAAACACACACCTTCCTGATTCCCATTTTTCTGACTCAGGGGAAGAGTGCGCCTCCATGGGGAGGGACTGGAGGTGCTTAGAGATCTTGACTCTGGTGAGGTTTTTGCATTTTTGGTACCTGAGGACCTTAGACCGACAGCCACTTTACTAGGCTTCTGCCAGCTCAGGAATCTTCTACTCTGGACATTTCACTACAGCAAGGAAGAATAAGTGTGAACTGTTTTACAACCTGGGACAAATAAGGTCTAGAAGGAATTTGGCCCCTCTTCCCAGAGCTTCCCTGTGGTTTGATGGCAGGAACAGACCCCAGTGGGCTACCCGTGGCTGAGCAGATCCCACGGGGCACAGCACGAGGTGGGAGTTGTGTGGCCTCTTCTCCCAGGTAGGCCCTAACATACACCCCCACTTCCCTTGGAACCGCTCTTGAGGGGGCCATAGTTCTGTTGTGTCTGTTCCTCTGAGAAGCCAATGCTGAGAAAGAGTGAGGGGTGCGAGAGGTTTTCCTGGGTGCAGGGGATGGAGCGACACCTGGTACAGACAGAAGGGAGGAAGCAGAATCGGGTAGAGGAAAGCCTTCCGACTCTGCGCGGACCAGACGCTGGCAAAGGGAAAGTGCGAGGGAGCTGAGGTGGGTAGGGAGAGCCTCAGGTCCAACAAGCCAGTGCCAACTCAGTAGGGGGCTCTGGGGCCCAGACTGACTGACAGCCACACCCCCTTTGGGCAGATGCCAGTCGGTCTGTGCTCAGCCTTTGCTCAGAACCACCTGGGAAGAGCATGGCTTGGGCTCAAGAGCCAAGATGGGTCCTGAAAGTGTTGTAGCTGAAGGCTGTCAGCTGACAGCGCTCCTTGGAGTAGAATGGCAAGTTTTCTTTCTTCCTTTCTTTCTGTAACTGCTGTACATTAGATCCCCAGAAATTGCTCTTCTTGTATCTGAGGGTTTGTATCCTTAATCAACGTCTTTCATTTCCTCCACCCCTAGCCCCTGACAGCCACCATTCTACTCTGTTTCTATGAGTTAGACATTTTTAGATCCCACATATAAGTGGGAACATTTAGTATTTGTCTTTCTCTTTCTGACTGACTTCACTTAGCGTAATGCCCTCAGGATCCATCCATGTTGTGGTAAATGGCAGGACTGACTTCTTTTTTATGGCTGAATAATACTCCATTACATAGATCTCCTTTATCCATTCATCTTTTGACAGATGTTCAGGTTGTTTCCATATCTTGGCTATTGTGAATAATGGTGCAGTGAACACAGGAGTGCAGATATCCTTCAAGATCCTGACATCACTTCCTTTGGAGATATGCCCAGAATTGGGAATACTGAATCATATGGTAGTTCTATTTTTAATTTCTTGAGGCACTTGCATACTGTTTTCTGTGGCTGGATTAATTCACATTCCCACCAAGAGAGCACGGGTGTTCGCTTTTCTCTACATCCTGGCCAACACCTGTTGTCTCTTCTCTTTTTGATATTAGCCACTCTAACAGGTGTGAGGTGACATCTTTGCATTTCCCTGATGATGAGTGCTGGCGAGCACCTTTTCATGTACGAATTGACTATTCACATGTCTTCTTTGGAAAAATATCCATTCAGGTCCTTTGCCTATGTTTTAATCAGATTATTTGTTTTTGGCTATTGAATTATATGAGTTCCTTGTAAATTTTTGAAATTAAGCCCTTAACAGATATATCATTTGCAGAACTTTTCCCCCAGTCTGTAGGTCATCTTTTCATTTTGCTGATTGTTCCTTTGGCTGTGTGGAAGTTCTTCACTGTGACATTATTCTGCTTGTCTATTTTTGTTTTTGTCGCCTGTGCTTTTAGTGTCATAGTCAAAAAAATTGTTGCCAAGACCAGTATCAATGAGTGTTTTTTCCCCTGAGTGTTTTTCTGGTAGTTTTACAGTTTCAGGTCTTATATGTAAGCTTTCAATTCATTTTTGAGTTAATTTTTGAATAAAATGAGATATGACTCCACTATTATTATTCTGCATGTGGCTGTGCAACTTCCCCAGCACCATTCATTGAAGAGACTGTCCTTTCCCTATTGTGTATTCTTGGTGCCCTCGTCACAGATTAGTTGACTAAGTTTGGAGGGAGAACCTTCAAGTGTGGTGCACCTTGATGGCTGCCACAGTTCCTTGTCGTGCGCCACGCACACCCACTTCTCCATGTATGTTTGGAGATCACTGAATGTTGCTGCATTCGGTCTCGGGCCGTGGCTGGTACTCCCTGCCTTCCTCCTCCACTACCCATTCATAGTTTCCCTCACCTTCAGGTTTTCTCTCTGTGCCTGTCAGAGCTTACCTGTTATGGGATGTAAACCCTTATTCCTGAGGGATCTAAGACCCTGGAAACCGTATTTTTCTTGGGCTGCGATTGCTGCACTCGCCCATTCACAGTTGTGGTTGGGCAAGGGAGTGCCCAGGGGTGTGCAAGTGGAGTTCCGCGTTTTCCTCTGTGCCCGCTGTCCTCCCTAAGAGCAGCCCTCTGTCCTACCGGGGAGGGCTGTTAGCCCTGCAGAAGGGAGTCTGCCTTACTGGTCTGCTGGCTTCTGGACACAGGGATTGTGAAGTGTCCAGGGGGCAGCCACAGGTCCCAGTTCAATGGGACTTCTGCAGCAGATGAGAAATCTAGGCCTGTGGAGCCCAGGGAGAGGAAAGACGAAGTCCTCCCATGGGCAATTAGGGAAAATGGCAAGTGTGGTTTCTCTTGCTTCTTCTACCTCCCGGTTCTCAAACCCATGTGCTCTTCCTACTGGAGATCACCGATAGTGTTTCTGCTGCATTCTAGAAGGTGGCACCCCATCCTCATCAAGGGGCCCCTGAGCTGGCAGCCCGGATTGATCTGCTCTCTCCCAGGTATGGTCTTACTGAGGCCAGCAGCCTGCTGGCCACCTGTTGCTCATTCTGCCTGTTGGGTGGGAGGTCGTTGATGTAATGGGGTGGTTCTCAACTGGGAATGACTTGGCCCCACAGTGGACACTTGGCAACATCTGGAGACTTTTCTGGTTGTTGCAACAGGGGGTGGGTGTCACTGGCATGTAGTAGGTAGAGGCCAGGGATGCTGCCAAACGTCCTACGAAGCACTGGGAAGCCCCCCAGCAAAGAGTCACCTGGGCCAGTGTGCCAACAGTTCTGAGCTCAGGGGCCAGTGAGGCAGTGGGTCAGCGACACGCTGAGGGCTGCTCAGAGGCCCCAACTCTCCCTGGAGCAGCGAGGGAGAGAGGTAACTTCTAGGGAAGTGGCTTTTCCTTATTTGCAGGGTCTCTGTTCTGCTGACACACGATGTCTGTGCTTATTTGTCACACTAGGTCACCCAGCGGCCCCCAAACCCCCATCACTTCCCCTCCTCACTTACTGTTCATGCGCTGAGAAAGACACTGTGAAGAATTTGGTTTTTGTGGTGAATTTAGTTGAAAGAGTGAAAAAAAAAAGTTTCCTGGTTACAAAAAGACACTAAGTCTGAAAACCCTCATCTTCCTATCCCATCATTACAATTGTTTGTACCATAGACCTGTTGACCCAGCCTTCCCCACTGGGCTGCCATCATCTTCACTAACAGACCACAGCCTCAGCAGGTGCCACCTCCCGTCTTCCCATGAGACGCAATGTGATGCTAACAGGAAACCTCTGTGGCCTTAGCTCTTGCATTTATTTCCCACAATAGACACAGGATGCACTCTTTGGGGCTGTTTGGTATATAAAATCTAGCTGTGAACAGCACGATACATTTCTCCCTTCAACTACAAACATTTCCTGTTTACTGCTTTTCACCCGATGCTGTCCTCACGCGTGTTAGTGGGTAGCAGTGCGGCAGCTCTGTGTTCCCTGACCCCTAGATTATAGGATAGTATGTGGGTTAGATGAGAAGGGGTCAAACCTGGGCCAAGGCGTTATGCCCGGAAGAGCCTCAGGAAAGATGTTTGCAATTTGTTAACTTGAAGTTTAAAATAAGGTCATTTTGACATTAGGCATATTTTCCTAATTTTACCCCACCTGGTATTGCAGCATCCAGAGCCCCGGCAAGTTCTTGTTTCCCTTGGACACATTTTTGAGCTTCCCCAGAGGATGAGTTCTATTAGGTCCTGAAAACACATGGTATTTGCCGTACATTTCCTCTTTTTCTGATAGGGATCCTCTCGGCTGGGTCTGGCCGAGCAGGCACTGCTGGTGGCCGGGCACGGCTCCTGATCCTGTCGGTCACCGTGTCTTCAGGTTGTCCACATTGCCAGGCATACTGGGTACATTCGCCAGACACCTGTTTCCTCTGACTTATTCCACTGGGCAGTGAGGTTCTTGTGGGCACCACTGTTGGCCCCCCTGGCCACTTGCCCCTTTCCTCCCTGGGTTCCCTGCCTTGGAGGTGGTGACACACTCCATCAAGTTGCCCAAGCCAGGAACCTTGACTTATCTCTCCCACAAGGGACACAAAATTGTGGGTTGCAGTGGTGTCGGGTCTCTCCAGTGCATTCACTTTCCCCCATCTTCACTTCAGTTACGGTCGCCAGGATTTCTGGTCTGGGCTGTGGCAACTCCTGCCGGCACCGGGCCTGTTCGGGCCTTGCTGCTCTCACTGGCCGCACTGGGACCACAGTGCTATTTCTAAGGCTTCAGCCATAACCGTGAGGTGCTGTCGGTGGGAATGGCAGAACAGAGACCACCAAAAGTCTTTCCTCCTACAAAACCAAGAACACTGTCAAAAATGGCCAGAATCAACTTTTTCAGATCTCTTGATATTAACCAAAGGCTTAGAGGGATATGATTTCCAGAATCGCCACATTCTATTATTTAAAATATCTAGTTTTCAACAAAATATTACTGAACAGGTAAAGAAATGAGAATGTATGGTCCCTCACAAGAAAAAGAAGCTGTGCAGAAGCTTTTTAGTTGGCTATACTGTCACTCATTTATTTTTTGCAATAAAGATAGGATAGAGGGACGAAAGAAGAAAATAAACAGAGCATCTGCAATCCATGGGATCCCGTCAACATACTGACACACA